ATGTCTTAGATGTACTTAATAGTTTTAATAAAAGTCACACAAAATGTCTTAGATGTACTCAATAGTTATAATAAAAGTCACACAAAAGCATTGATAAAATATATTTATTACAAGTACGATTCTCAAAAAACCATTTCTTGGGGTAATTTGCCACCTTCAACCCTTATCAAGCCCCCACCCCTACGACGCTAAACCTCAATCCGCCACTGGTGTCTCGGATAACACTTTTTTACTTTCTGACCGGATATTGAATACCCTGATATTTAAATAATATCCGGGTTATTATTTAAAAATCTGAATATTATTTAAAATACCTTCAAAAGAGCGAGTTTTGTTTGGAAACTTTTCAAAATTAATTTAGCTGTGATTTTAAAGCAATTTGCATTCCATGTGGAGAGCAGATAAGTATATCATTTTCTACTATTCCACTGCGTATAGTAAGTTAGAATGCAGTGGTTAGAGCGCTTGCTTTATAAGCAGGAGATCCAGGTGCTCTGTGACAAGGCTTTTAGATCTTCTTGGGGCACCTAAATAACTGATATAAAAAAAATAAAAAACTTGCTATTTTGAAGGTATTTTAAATAATATCCGGTCGGATAGTAAAAAAATGTTATCCGGGACACCAGTAGCGAATTGAGGTTTATTTTGTATGAAGAGGAAAACATAAATAATATTGAATCTTATTCTGCTGCATATGGAAGTTCAAAATGTAATGAATTCTGATCAAGTCTCTTTTGTAAAAACTGCTTAGGGAGTTGATGTTTTCTTTAATCGCTCGATTATAGAAAATTATAAACAGTGGTGCTAGTAGCTTAATTTAGCACTTAAGCTACTAGCACCACTGTGCTACCCCTGGCTACATTCTCTACCCCTGGCTACATTCTCTACCCCTGGCTACATTCTCTACCCCTGGCTACATTCTCTACCCCTGGCTACATTCTCTACCCCTGGCTACATTCTCTACCCCTGGCTACATTCTCTACCCCTGGCTACATTCTCTATCCCTGGCTACATTCTCTATATTTGTAGAACATTGTCTTCATTATTTATTTAAAAAATTGCAATTAAGGCTACCTCAACGTGCAGAAATGTTAATTTCTTCACGTTGAGTTAAAAGAAATATAAATGAGTGATAAACTGATGTATTTGTTGCGCATATACAATTTTAGTAGCATTTTAATAATAACAATAACAATATTGAATATAAACCGTTAACATTAGATTATTTAAAAATATAACATTTCTAGATTTCTAGAAAATTATTATCCGGCCAGAAAACGGTTATCGATTAATAATCCTATCTGACCGGGATATCCGGCCGGATAGCTTATCCTGGACATCTCCATTTAAAGTCACCAACTAACTATACATGTTTCCGAGTTATACCGGTTTAAGTTATAAACTTCTAAAGCGAGCATCGAATTTCCAACTGGTGTCTATAAGTAGTGAAATATAAAATGTTTTTATCCTTTTTATTTATTCTTTCAAAGCGTAACATTCAAGCAGAGATCATTAGGTTCTAAAAAGTTTAGTAAGTTGTGAATAAAAATGCTCACCGCACCACCAGTATGATTTAGACGCGACTGGTGAACTGATGAATAATCTCGTGCATAATTTAAAGCGTGGTTTTTTTCATTGCGTTTCTGAAAAACAATTGGTTTTAAGTCACGGTTGAGGCTACAAAGTTAAACTTTAAAGTTTGGAATGTTTTTAACTCATACGCCAACTCGGCCGTTTAAAAGCGGCAAGTTATTATACGCAAGCTATTAAAACTTCCAAAAGTTTAGATTTTAATGAATGCAACTTTTTTTTTTTGTCTTAAAAATATTTATTTAATAAAAACCATATATTTACAAATACCTAAATCTTTATGTTTGAATAAAATTATTATTGGGATTAAAACGTTATTGATAATAAAATGAAAATAATAAGAAGGAAAACGCCTCAGTATTTTAAAATATGTTTTTTATGCAATCAAAGTATTTGTCTAAAGCCTCATTTGTTTACTGTTTATATTATTTTGAAATTCATTAGAAAAATTTCTGAGCAATGTAACTTGAAATTTTTTTTTCAATTTAGGTTAACATGTTCTTAATTTGTTTATTTTTTCTGCTTGTTGGACTCAATTAATTTTTTTAATGTCAAAGTGTAACTCTACTAATACTAGTTTTTGAAACCCTTGCCTTTAACCCATGTTAAACATGTATATGTAATTACTATGTATACGTAAATATTTTTGAATATATAATATAATATAGTAGAGTATATATTATGTCATTTTATGCTGAATATAATTGGTATAAAATTATGATTTAAATTTATACATAAATTAATACAACAATGTAAATGTAATTTCTATATTCTTATTTGTATGTTTTATTTTCTGTTCCAATTTTAATGTATTTGAGCTTAAAATTTCATAACTATTGTTATTGTATTTATGTATCAGGCAATTATTTATGTATAACTAATGTATAATTAATAAGAAAAATACGTATTTACATTTATCATTTATGTAAGTAATCATACTGTTGTCATAGTGTAAACTTAATTAAACAAAATATTTGCCTAATACATTCTTACATATATGAACATGACTCTGAACATTTGGCCAAATTTTCAAAGTGAAAATCAGGAAAGTATTATTTTTCTCAGGAAAAAATAGAAATTCAGAAATTAAAAAGTAGAAATTCAGAAATTAAAAAGTAGAAATTCAGAAATTAAAAAATACTCCTTTTCTATGCTTTTTTTACAAAAAATGTTTTCATTATCATTATTATGAGCTTTAAATGAACTTCTTTACAGAGAAGTTGTCCTCCATTTCAAAAAGTAAAATGCTTTATCTTTAAATTTCAAATGATAAAAACAAAAGGTTTTTTTTATTGCTGTTTATTTACCTGCATAAAAGATTTATATTGAAAGTTTCTTCTAATATATTAAAATATAATTTAATGTTTATATATAATAATATAATAACATAATATATACATAAATTGCGCTAGAAACAATTCCTCCTAAAAGCGTAAGAGAAAGGTAACAACTTTTGAATAATAATATTATTATTCAAAAGATGTTACCTTACTCTTACACTTTTTTAAGATTTGCCGTTCTATTTACGATAGCTTTATAAATCAATACTGCTTCAAAATAGATTCAATTTGACTGATTCAAGAAGCCACATTTTCGGAAAATATGTTTAATTCTTCATCACTGCAAATCAGTTGTGTTTATTAATACTTTTCTGATTGAATTTTTGACTTAAAGACACTATTTCTTTTTGTATTAAAATCGAGATAAGTAAAAAAAAAATTTTTTCGTTCTGTTTCTTAATTTCTTCTTGGAGTAAATCATGTTTAATTGTGAATTTTAGAAATAGCTTAAACTTTGTGAAAATTGTAATAACAGATTCAGCAGTGTAACTTCAAGTTCTGACCACTGATTTTAAAAACGGGTTCTCCTTCCTGTCTCCTTGCAGCCACAAAGAATATTTTAAAGTTTAACAATAAAATTTTAAAATCTTTTAAATAATTATAAAGTTTGATCGTTATTTGTTTCAGAATATAATATTTATTTTATAAATAACCTGTATGTTATTAAATTAAAAATTGATTTAACGGAAATTATGTAATTTGAAGTCTACTGAATTTTTTGCATTTAAACACCAATGTGATGAAAACACACTTGTATTCACTTAAAGCATCTCAGCCGAGGAGTAAACATCTCTTTAAAATATCAATATTAGTTTTGTCCTTGTCAATATTCATAGTTTTCACGTAACAACAACAACTTTATAAAAAAGTGGCCCTACATAACAACAACAAGTTTAATACTAAATAGCTTAAATACATAAGTGCGTGTAATAAGTTAAGTCCATTTCCCGGCTAGCACAAATACGTTTGTAAAACGTTAAAACAATTTTGTGAGTTGCGCACAACATCAGTCGCCAAAGTGTTTTTATATCATTTTGGATACAAATGCGACGTCGCTAACAACACAGAACCAAAGCTGTATTATTTCAATATTCAAGGAAGATTTCATTTAATTTATATAATTTTGCCTTCGCAAAGTTGGATTGTTTACATTGAATCATCATTGATCCATACTCCTTAAATCAATGTTTGGTTCTATACATAGGATCTATTCATAGGATCAACGTTGAGTTTTGATCGTAAAAAAAATCAAGTTTTAAAAAAATTTTGTTTTTAATTAAAAGGTATTATTCTTTTTATTGATATAATTGCTAAACATATGACTTTCACCATAACAACATATGATAATCACCATAACAACATATGACATTTCATCAAAATTGTATTTGCATCAGAAAAAACTGCCTAAGTTCGCGATGGTTTTAAGTACGTTGGAAAATGCAATTATCATATATTTTTTTTATTTTTACTGTTTAACATACATATAACATGTTTTTTTAATACAATTATTTTAAGCATCTTTTATTTTATGAGATTTATCTCCATGGAAAACTTCTGGCTCAACGTAATATCAGTCTAATCAAATATGCACAATTCCAACTATGGTATAATGAGCAACCAAGCATATGCCAATTATAATGCTTCGTTGACCCAACAATAAAAAATACGGAGAGCTAATTAAAATGAGCAGCATGGATTGTTGCATAAAGTTTAGACTTAAGAATTATAGACATTTGACGCACGCCTTGATCTCACAGGCTTCAGATTAGTTAAAAAAAATTATTGAGTGGAATGGATCTATTTTTTTAGCACTTCCCAAGGTTGTTGAAAAAGCGAGCTGCACAAATTTTACAAGCATGATAAAATTAAAAGTTACCTATACTAAAATAAATTAAAAAAACAATTGGCGTTCTATCTGTCTGAGACGCCACCTGCAAAACTTGAAATGCACGAATATAGTTTGTCTATACTATAATTTGTTTAATAAACGTTTGATTACAGTTATATTAAACAATTGATTTTAGCTCGTAAACTTGAATATAAATATTGCTGTCTGCTTACTGAATAGTAAAAAAAGGATCATGTGCATGTTAAGTTGTTGAGACATGTTGAGAATGTTATAAAAGCAAGAAAAATACTTTCTTTTTGAAACATTTTTGCGAAAGCTGAAAAATTAAAAACTTATTTGGTATGAATTTTGAAATTTCTAATTTAAATTAGTGTTGAATTATTCTAGATCTTCAATTATCAGTAATTGATTAACAGATTTGAAATTCCAAGGAAATTTCAAATTTTTGTTAGTTTCAGGATGTGTACAGTAAAATCATGTGAAATCGCATACATTTTAAGTATAATTAATGACTTTTTTGAGTAAAAAATTTTTTCCTTATTTTTTTAAATTTTTTTTTTTTTAAGAAAAAAAAAGATCTTAAAATTAAATGTATTTACCAATTTTATTAGTTTTTAAAGTACAAGTGTTATAAAGAAAAACTTTTGTGCAACTGTAGGACTTTGTTTAATTGAACTAATTACAGAGACACGTATTTTTAATAATTTAAGCTAGTTATAGAGACATATAATTTTAATGTAAATTACACAGTTATGTATGGAATTCCGGTACATCACTATAAATTAAACAGTTATGAATGGAATTCCAGGTACATCACTATAAATTACACAGTTATTTATGGTTAGATATTTATAAATAAGCAGTTAGTTACATAAAATGACAAATTCTATTTAGTCAATGAGTTCAATTACTAAAATAATCAAGTGTTCAGTTTTAGAGAAAATTGTTTAATTTTTGGTTTTGTTTTTTTATAAAGTATATTCAGGAAGTTGCAAATTCGTTTCTGAAAAAAAATTTTTTTACTACAAAATCCCGTTTTCAGTTAAACATTGTAGTTTTCAAATTCAAAATTATTTAATCAAACTTTTAATATAAAAATTAACAAAGAAAACTTGTCAATTTATTAAGAAAAAGTATAAAGAAAACTGAAAGCAAAAAACTATGTACAAAACAAGAAAGTTATCATCAGAGTATTATCTGGTAATAAAAATAACAAATAGTAATAAATAAAAAAGGTCAAATTAAATATAATTTAAGTCTATAATTTTCTAATTAAATAAATTGTTTGTATATATATATATATATATATATATATATATATATATATATATATATATATATATATATATATATATATATATATATATATATATATATATATATATATATATATATATATATATATATATATATATATATATATATATATTTGTTTGTTTGTTATATATTACATTTTAAAACATCACGTTAATATTTCATAAAATTTACAAGCTAAAATAAAGAAATATAAACAGTTTCAAGTGAAGATATTTAATATATATATAAACGCGGAAACTCGTAGAAGACCGTAAGGTCTTGTCGTCGAGTACCGCGTTAAAAAGCTGTTACATTTTTACAAGTAAAATATTTTTAAATAAAAGAATGACAAGATTTAAATTAAAAAAACTACAAAAAAATAAAAAGTTCAAAAAAAATTTCTTAAAGATAATTTGATAGATAGTATAATAGCAATATAGGCTTGAAGATCGTAAATAATGAATTACAAATCATATCAAGTAAAATCATACATTACAAATCATATAAACCTATATAAGTAATAGATTTTGAAGAAATTCAAAAGGTTTTTAAAGTACATATATAATACCGTAATAATTATTCGAATGACATTAACTTACTTAAAAAAATGCTTTTTTTATATTAATTATTATTTATGTTTATTTTTGCACTATTAGATTTAAAAAACATAAAAGTATTTTGATTAAAAAATTTTTCATAAAAATCATAAAAATAATAAAACTACTAAAGTTGGCAAAACTATTTAAAAAACGGACCATCAAAGACTGTAAACGTGGACCGATGTGTCGAAGTTTCAAATCTTTGATTACAGTAGAAAACGATTTTTTTCTGAAAAATCGTTGAATGTATGATATTATAGAGGTTATTGTTGACTATAAAATATGTTGGATGTAGTGTTAAGGTGCAGGGTTAAATGCCACAGGCGACTTAATAAAAGTGGATGGAATAATGACAAAGTTAGTTTACTTAGACACTTAAAAAGTTATGCTATACCTTTGGAAAGTTAGGTAAATGGGAATCCATTTATTTTTGTCAGAAAAAAATGACTCCAAGACATATTCTTCAGAACATTGTATAAGTTATTTGTCTGAGTTTGAGAATGATCAAATATTGGAAAGATGATTTAGTCTCCCAAATCACAAGATCTCTCTCCAATCAGGTTTTTATGGGAGAAATTAAAAGTAATGTTTAAAACTAATACTTGTGAAAAGATGTGAAAAAAAACTTGTTAAGTAGTGGCAAAAAATGACTTTGACAAATTGGATAAGCCGTTATGTAGATGGCCAAGATTATGTATGGCGGTTATTGTCGCTAAGAGTGATTAAATGGCAAGTAAGTTATAAAATAATCTAATGGGACTTTATATTAATTTTATTGTCACCTAATAAATAGGAAGATAAAATATAGTTTAAAAGATTTTGTTTTTAGCTTCTCTCCAAATAATAAGTAAAACTTTGATATTTTACGTCGAAAAGAACGACCATTTATATAATTATGGACGGTAGTTTATAAATATCATAAACATTCAATTACCTTTCTGATAAAAACATACTATAACATGTCTAATAAAATATCTCTAACCAACTTTCGCTCTAGTTACATAAGCGTCACCGGTGAGAATAGAAACGGGAAATATATATATTTACTGTAGAAAATCAGAGACAATATTTAAATGATTCTTTTGCGTAAAGATTTGTCTTTTGCTAACATTTTTGTCTCTATGTCACTTACTTTTTCATCTGTTAATATGATTGATACTGTTGCTATAAATATATATATATATGTATATATATATATATATATATATATATATATATATATATATATATATATATATATATATATATATATATATATATATATATATATATATATATATATATATATATATATATATATATAAATAAAAAATTATAGACTTAAAGAAATACAAGGTATTAGCATTTTAGTATTTACTATCACAAACACAAAAGATATTTGTAGAATCTTACAAACTCAAAATAATTATTAAGATAATAGTACTAAGTGAATTTGTGAATATTACAAGATATTATATTGTAATATCACAAATGAGGAGTGAACCTGCAATACCAGAAAAATCCACTTTTAATATTTTACGTGCATTTAGTGTCCCTAACATTGTGGGTTTATTCGACGACTCTTCAAATAAGTCAGACGTGCATAATCAGGCAGCTCCTTGTGATAAAGCGTGATGAAATTGTTGGTTTCTGCAGAACCGGTAAATAAATGTTTTTCATTTTTTTCATTTTCCCGTAAATTTTTAAAAACTGGACTTGTCTGGTTTTGCATGTTCACTCCTTAAATGCACTTCAATGATATTATTATTATTGAAACAGTTACCTGCTTTCAACCCATGAAAACATAGTGCCATGTTTTGAAATAATACAATATCGATTTTTTCAATATTGTAATATACAAATAAAATTTTATAAGGTTATTTTTTCCAATAGTAAATAGTATGAGAAAACTTACTTCGTGAAATTATGCCAATTTAGCCCAAAAGCCTTTATTTCAATAAAAAGCCTAAAGATCATGAAAAACGGCAAGTATCGAAAAAAAAATGATTGGAAATAGTTAATTATTTTGACTAAAGCCTTTTCAACATTTTTGCTTTATACAATCAATTAATTTAGTTATGTTTTTGTCCAAAAAACACACATTCCAATATTTCTCACGTTGTAAAGTGACTGACTTCAAGAACTATATAAATATCGTTAATAATATGATATATATATATATATATATATATATATATATATATATATATATATATATATATATATATATATATATATATATATATATATCATTAAGGATATATCTATGCTTCCCAACGTATAATTGTTCAGCCGAGAGAACATTTTTAGCATTAAAAAGGGTCTAACATCCTAATATTTCTCACATATATATATATATATATATATATATATATATGTATATATATATATATATATATATATATATATATATATATATATATATATATATATATATATATATATATATATATATATATATATATATATATATATATATATATATATATATATGTATATACATATATATATGTATATACATATATATATATTAAAATTATTCTTTAAAATTCTATTCTTTAAAAGACAAAACGAACAAAAAAGTAATATTAAATGTTTAAGAAATATTCAAAAAAAGTTTAATATGCGTTCTAATTAAAAAACTTAAAAAGCCAAAGTTTTTCAAGTAGAAGTTGTTTCCTTGTTATTTATTTGGTTGATTTATAATTTTGAGTTGATTATATTTTAAGTATTTAAAGTCACCACATATATGTAAACTTAAATATTTTTTTTTTAACAATTATAGGAGTAATTTACTGAATCAACAACTTGCTTGTTATTTTCCTCAATACAACCTTCTATAGAAGAAAATACATCATAAATTCAGTAGAAATCTACACAATATTAATAATATTTATGTAAAAGAAAAAAAATGATAACAAAATATTGAACTAATTCAAAAAAAAGTTCTAGGATTACCAAAATTTACTGCTAAAAGCGGTGTTTTTTCCAGGACTTTTTCAGGACCTATTGAATTCCTTGATATTTCCAGGTTTTCAAGGTTTTCAAAGATCATTTACCACCCTGAATTAAACTAATTAATATTCAATAGAATTTCTCTTGGAAACACTATCCAATCTGTAAAATCTTAATTAGAAATTTAGTATTAAAGTGAATTTTAGAGTTATTTATAAACAATCTCTTAGACATACATCCAACCACCATTTTACTTTTGCTAAAATTTCTACATTCGTTTGCTCTACAAGTATCAGTATTTTAACTCATTGATTACATAAACAGATAGACAGATAGAAAGATAATTTTTCAAGCCAAAAAAAACAAACACTAGCTTTTATTTAAGTTTTTCATCAAATTTGAAGTACACTGGATGCTGGATGAAAAAACCACTCATCTATAAATTCTAATTAAAAATCAATTCCATTTGTTAGAAGTCCCAGAATGGTTATGAAGTTTTTTTTCATTGGT